ATTCAATAATCTCAGCTTTAAGTGGTAAGAGTTTTATATAAAACTGAAAGCATTATTTTTTTATTGTTAAGTCACCTTAAGTTACTCCTTGGACCACAACATTATATCAGTTGAATGTTGGAGATAACTATGTGAACTATGTGATAACAGTATAACACAACAATGAAACATATTGTTTACCACCCACTTTCTGCAGTTAGTTCTGAGAATATGCACGATGATGTTACCATAGTAGCGCTGCGAGGGATGAACACATCAACCCAATCTTACCGATCTCTCGTTTGGCGAAGTGAGCTACTGACATTATCAGATGGGAGTCTGACGCTCAGAGCTTCGGACACCTTAGTTCTAAACATACATGATACACTGTAGCTTAACTTCAAAGGTAGATAATACTTATCATGGTTCAGTACAGGTTCAGTTGCGGGACGACCGTCTAAAACTGACGCATGGTAAGGTTGCGTAGACCGAACGAGCGTGTTTGGGCGATGCGACAAAATACGTTGACATGTCTGGTTTTGAACAGAATGGAGTTAATCTTATTAAAGTTTTCTTTAACTAACTTAAAATCACGAGGAATACGCTAAAATGATTGAGCTTTTCTTATCAGGAATTTGAAAAATAAATAGGCTTGTCTTTACTACCATTAAAACACAAGTTGTATTCTACAGATTTCTTACATCATATAAAAACAAATTTTGTTTCAAAAATAAATTTAGTTAAGAGATATATGGGATCTTATATTATGGATATGTTGTTTTTCGAGCATAATTATGATAAAAGCATGATTTTTAAATTACTTATTAAGCATTTGTTTCCCAGATTTTCTTTACTACAATGCTTGTAAGAACACTCGGTTTAAAGAAATGAACAAACAGTGGATGGAATGTAATCACCCATTTCCAATGAAAAATACAAAGGATTCCCAACGAATAACGAGTGGGATTAAATGAAACATTGAAGGTATTTTGTTTCAATTTTTTTGTGACTCGTATGCTATTACGAACCCTTTAATCAATAAAATAGTGGACCCCCAAGTAATTAAGTACATAAATGGTTTAGAAAGATGGCTTTAAAAAGCCGATATGATCCCATTGGTAATTCTAGGGTTGAATGCTATTTCAGAACAAAAGATTATTTATTTAAATAAATCATTTTTTGCATCATCTAATGGCACCTCCTTAATTCCATAAACCATACTACCTGGAACGCATGTTATACGTCTTGCAAAAATTCTCTATTATCATATGATATGTTCAATGTAACGTATACCCACCCTTTCATGGTTGTACAACAACAACAAGAAAATTGAGTTAGAACACACTTGCCATCCGTTATATTATCCTTACCTGCTTTGGTAATATAAAACATAACTTGTGAACATTGGTATAATATATAATGAACGAAATTCTACGATACTTGTCATCTTGATGATATAGATTAAAATTAGCGCTGGTATGCTTTTTCACCCTCGATGATATAGTGCAACATGAATGGTAACAGCAAATAGCGAGTCTAGTATTATAATAACATACTCATTTGGAGAAATTTGATTTGAGAGAATTAATAATAAACTATCAGGAAAAGATGCGATCACACGGATCAGTGTTCAGCGTATAATCTTTGGTCCGCTATTTCGGAGTTCGTTCAGAGTTTAGATTTGAATGTTTAAGAGGGAGAAAGGTTGTTTTTGAACGTTTAAGCGGGAGGAAGGTTGTTTTTGAACGTTTAAGCGCAAGGAAGGTTGTTTTTTAACGTTTAAGCGGGAGGAAAGTTGTTTTTGAACGTTTAAGCGGGAGGAAGGTTGTTTTTGAACATTTAAGCGGGAGGAAGGTTGTTTTTGAACGTTTAAGCGGGAGGAAGGTTGTTTTTGAACGTTTAAGCGAGAGGAAGGTTGTTTTTGAACGTTTAAGCGAGAGGAAGGTTGTTTTTCCAAGGTTACGTGACTGATGTTTTTGTCGTCAATATACGTTTTTCCGTTTTGAAAGTTTATAGTCCAAAACAATGCATTGGAGGCGGATCAGAATTTGCATGAAGGTCAACCATGAGTATCTTCTAAAGCGTTATGTTCAGCAATATGAATAGAAGCCGATGAATAAGATTCTAATCTGGCTAGAATTCAGTGGCTTTGTTTAAGAGAGCGAGAAGCCAGACGTATCTCGACGTTTCTGCATTATTTACTTGCTAGTCAGGGGTTGCCAGCGTCAGCTGTGCTGAGTTTTAATAAAATACTAACGGATAAACACAAAAGATCTGAATGTGTGCTCTTTTGAAGTTATATATTTTCGGTTTGTTCCGAGAAGCGTGTATTTTTATGTAACACATTAAAGTTGAGTACTTTGTCTTGATAAACTGTAAAAGAAAAGTTAGTTTAGCAGTTACCATTATATTTTACCTTGAAACAAAATCCTACTTACTTTTTTGAACATTAAATATTTATTAAATATCAATAGGGAATAAAACGTATATGGACTAAGAACCCCGTGGAATATTCCAGGGTGAGTTGTTATGTGGATGTCATGCGTGTCAATAATGTAAATGTGTAAGTTCTAACGGATCACTTACGTAAACATCAATGATTTGATTTGGCATGCAACATCTAATGTTATCATAGACTGTAAGAATTGTGTTAGAAACAACACGACTTGTGTTTTACGGAGCACAACGGTGTTTGAACGACTATACAACACAAGTAAGAAAAAACACGATGCATAATCTTTGTGTTAAATTTTACATAATCTACCTGCACATAATAAAAATGTAACTTCGGAACACAACAATATTTGTGAGTAAACATAATTTTAAACTGAAAAACCAAACTTCATGTGTTTTGTTAAAAAACACAAGATGTGTTTTGATATTGTTACAACAATCAGTTATGTTATATTTCACAGAGTTCTGTGTTCGGGGACCACAATTTGAGTTTTTCTGAAAGAAATAACACAATATTTTGTTAACTTACAATACAATCGTTTTTACAGTGTCCATAGTGTATCACAATTAGTGTGTTAGTATTAGGGATTATATCCACGGCATTCTCCTAATATATTGCCTGGCTAACAGCATTGGATGATAATGGACAGTAAATACTATTTAAAACATTTGCTATACTTACTACACCACAACTTTAAAGAACTCATGTAATTCGATACCTTATATGTTTTTTATGTTTAGTGTAATATTTAAACCAGATTTTCATTAACAGTTTATTAAAATTACCTGCATTAACAAATTTGTAGATTCTTCATAGTTATTTAGCTTTAATAAAACCTTCCTCTGTGATGGACGTGAAAATGATTTCTTGCGAGGTTGAGAAGATCCATTAAAATTAACTTTGAAAACAGCTGTCACCGTTGAAAGCTTGTAATGTCCCTGCTGTCATTGTATTAGTTAGGGGGATAGTAACATCCCTTATCGATCTAACCAGTATTCACATTCTGGATGCAAATATTAATATCTACGTACTGCGACCAAACTGTACAACTTTCACATGATTGTGTATTTAAATGTTGATATTTTTGTCAAGACAAAACAGAAGTACAACCATATGTAACCATGCAAGTATTTTCTCTCGTTTAATGAATTACGTTTCTAGCCAGAACTATATTTAGATGTCAGTTGCATATATATTGCTTCGAAACAATACTTTTAGATACAAAACCATACTACATAATTTGTAATATTATGTAAGTGCTTCAAATTAATGCAAAAGGTTTTCCTTATATATGTAGGTTATTGTTTGTTCTCTGCTTCGACGTATATGTAGCCTTGTCATTTGTTCAATTTAAAAAAGAAGATAACTCCTGAATGAAGGAATTATATACAATAATGTGAACAATTCATTATAAAAATCTGACTTCAATTCACTTCAAATTGATATTGCTGTCTGTCTCTCTCTTTCTATATATATATATTATATACATAGCTTAGAAGCCAAGGTGAGGTTTAGAAATATAATAAAGGAAGTATTTACTTCTAAGTTAGATAAAAAGTATATTTATGTGAGAGGTAAATGAGATAATCTTATTGTTTAAATTAAACAAATAAAACTTGTTTTTAATGTAGAAAATAAATGGACTCGATGCTTATCTTATAATGGGATTATGTATGTATTTGTTTGGACAGTGTTTGTCTTATAATGGGATTATGTTTGTATTTGTTTGGACAGTGTTTGTCTTATAATGGGATTATGTTTGTATTTGTTTGGACAGTAAACAAATTCTCGAAAGAAAAAAAAATAAATGTAAACAAAGTTCCAAGATAACATTTCTTTATTTGTCTAGCTCAATAAACTCACGAGATTCTAAAGATTTGGCTGATGTGATTTGATAGATACTTAATTCCTTTAATCCGAGCAACTATGAACGTAATAAGGGCACGTTTAAAATAATACTTGAAGTTCAACCTCCAAACAATATTTGAAACCAATACTGGTATAGGTGTTTTGATACTGTTACCTATTTTTAAAGATTTGGTTTAAAAAATCCGAAAAATGAGATATTGAAATGATGCTGTAGTGAAAGCGTTTAACGTTACTATACTTTTCACGTGTGGTTGTTGTTTTCATTAAAATTATATATATATACTTTTAAGTCAAAACACTATTTTCCAAATTTTAAATCACATCAATATACAACCGCACACGAATTCAAAACATTTTACATACATATGTAGACTGAAACAAATATTTTTACAGAAAGTCTGCAAACATGAATAATTTACTAGCAAGCTGTCCTACATCTACTTCACCGAAATATTTTAGGCTAAACAGAACACATTACGATCACAGTAGTAACACATAGAAAACGGAATCCAGAGTTTATAGGAAAGCTAAGCAGGGTTTCATAGTCTTTTTTTTCTCTAATGTTTGTATACTGCTTGGTCAGTATTCTAATCAAATACATTTACTTCCTCTCTCTTAGGCTAGAATTCATCTGTTATTTGTATGTACAAAGTCCACGCCGTCTGCCTGTGATCCAAACAAGAAAACCTCTACTTACGTCCTAAACATCCGATGGTTTAGAGCGCACGAGACATGAGGAGTAGAGCCCCAGAAGGTGAGTGGCTGGTAGGCCGGAACTGGACGTTCCAGCTGAACCTACGGTGAAGTCCCGAAGACCGGAAGGCGCTCCTGCGGCAGCGGAATAGCTCGCTCCGTCCGCGGTCTTCAAAAATGGATTCAAGACTAGGGATCCTACGGCACCGCAGGTGTGCCGACTTGCCTCACCAGGACCGTTGCTAGATGGGTAGCCGTAACCTGGAGACCCGCAACCACAAGGCAGGAAGTATGCCGGCATGGACACGGACAGGCCGGGATAGAGAGCACTCGAGGCGTAGCTGGGGTAGGGAATGCTGGTTACTGGATAGCCCTTGGAACTGCTGGGAGTTACAGGCTTGAACGAATGACTAGAGGTCAAATCTGGACTCGAAGCGGACTTGCTATCTGTCTCTTCATTTGGAGGGGAAAGTCGACCAACAGTGGGGAGTGCAGTAGAAACAGGAAGAGCAGTGTGAGTCTCCATTGCTCCTGGAGGAAAAGGAAACAGTCCGGGTAGGGGTGGAGGTGGAAAAAGACCTCTTGAGAAACCCATTCCTAGATAATCCATGGGTGCTGGAATATATGGCATCGGAAACGGGAAGCGATCTTTTTTTAATAAGTTCTTGGGTTTTCTGCGAGGTTTATATTTGTAATCTGGATGTTCTTTCATGTGTAGGGCTCGTAGCCTCTTTGCTTCTTCAATGAAGGGTCGCTTCTCAGCATCAGTCAGGTGTTTCCATTCGGAACCCAGTCGCTTGCTAATTTCAGAGTTATGCATTTTTGGATTTTCAACGGCAATCTTCCGGCGCTGGGCTCGGGACCACACCATAAAGGCGTTCATTGGGCGTTTGACGTGGATTTCACCGGAACTGGTAGGTCGAGTCATGGCCAAGCTGATGGGCCCCAGACCGGGCTGACTCCCGTGGGGTTCCAGTGTGGTAGCTAGACGACTGATATAATGAGAATCTGTGCTTCTTAATAGAATGTCTTGGATAAAACCATCAAACACGGTCCTAAGTTAGAGCTTACTGTGGGAGTACACCTAAAGTTGGTTGCAATACCTTAGCTCACACTGGTTTACAATGATAAAACTATTGTTGACCAGAGTCTCCTACTAAAGTCATCGCTGTCCTCTTGTACACTGCTGCTTCCTTACTGCGCGCTAAACGTAAAGTAAAATCCAAGAAGGAAAGCTCCGTCGATCGAACAACGCCTGACTTTCCTCGCGTATAATCACTCTTAACTATCGATAAATTTGAATGTGTTTTGCAAGACGCCCTTTCGCCACTTGTGTACACAGTTTAACGGTGATTGATTTCTCAGTGGCTAGTACAACTCGTCACTCGCTTTATTTACCGCTAGCACGTGTGGCTTAGTGCAAGGCGGGAGCCGTAATAACCATTTACGCTATGGCCAATCAGCAAGCAGTTTACATTCTGCGGCTTGCTTGTGTAGTGGGGCGTGAATAATCCGATTGAAGAGGTTTGCCATTGGTTCTTTATTTCCTGGAAAGCTAGTGTAAACGATTGGCGCAGTATGGTGGCGGATTTCAGCTTTAATTAAGCATTACATCACGACTTGTGCTGGAGAATAAGAAAATAATTAATTATATCAAGAATCTATTTTATAAGCTTTATTGATTCGTTATTACAAAGTTTCTGCTAGAAAATTATTTCAGTTATTTATATTATATGAAACCACATGTTACAAACAAATATACAAACTGTTTCCAGGCGTACAAGAACGACAGCTTCAAAATGGTAAGTTCTAACTCAAAATGTATTTGTATCGTCTGTAGGTTTTATATACACACACACACACACATATATATATTCATAGTTGAAGAAGACTCTCGAGATTGACAATTAATGTGTGAATAGAACACAACATATGTTTGTTAATATTTACCATTCACCCACTAACATATAATACAAACGTGTAGTAGCACAGTCATGTAGGGAGGTTTTTTATTCAGTTATTATTTTTTGTTGAGTTTTATGGATAAAATGATGTCTATGTATCCTGAATTTCTGTAAAACTGTACTCTACTTTCTCAGATGGCGTGTTCAACTATATTAAGACTATCGTCATGAGTATTTTTTTAAGCTATGAGTAACCAAGACCTATTGTTATTGATCGATACGTCACGAATCTGAGTATCCTAATTTTAAGTTTTGCTTAAAATAGCTTAATGCTGATATAAAACTTCATAAGATAGCAGGCCACTTCAGTTAAAAATATGTCACTAATAAAAAATCAAAACTTTTATGGAAACTCTTGAAAAAAATACTAACTAAAATAAGAAACGTAAGACCATACGAGAGCAATCACCTGACCAGATGAAGGATTATGAGCAAGGTATTTTCAGTTACATCAACTGGGTAGCAGTAACTGAAAGGGGTGAGCAGGATCATATGAAACATACAACAGCTGTTTAGTGTCACATGTAAGGTATCTAACTGGAGAATGTTCACCACACCAGCTGACACTTGATAATAACATAGGTTATTCATTTTGGTTATATCAGCTAAACTCTTAACCTTATTATAGGTTATAAAACTGACGTAGTTAGTACCTATTAGCTATCATTCGTCTCCATGAAGACGCTGAACTGAAAAAGGTAGTTTTCAGCTAGAGTTAGCCTGTAACAATAAGGTAGGACACTGTACTGGTGAAATACCAACCACATAGACTAATAGGCGGTAAAAGTGAAAAGGTTACTGATCCGGTAGGTTTTAGTTAGAATTAGTCTTTAAGACCATTATCAACTTACACGTGATCACAATGTATATTGTTACATCTAGAGCTAATCCGTGAGAACAATATAGGATACTAAACTGTCGAAGTGTCAACCACAGCAACCGAAACAGGATCCCAGTGTATGTTGTTACATCTAAGGCTAGTTTGTGAGAACAATATAGGATACTAAACTGTTGAAGTGTCAACCACAGCAACCGACACGGGATCACTGTATGTTGATACATCTAGGGCTAGTTTGTGAGAACAATATTGGATACTAAATTACTGAAGAGATAACCACAGCAGTCGACACGGGATCACAGTGTATGTTGTTACATCTAGAGTAAGATTTGGCTAACAGTATAGGGTACTGGTAGTCACAATAACTAAGTAAACAGGGTTTTAGCCTGTAGGCCAGTAACAGGTGAAGTCGTGGAAAAACCGTGGCGATGAAAATGATAGATTTAATGATGTCAGAAAAACATGTAGGTCCAAGAAGTCTTGATACAAAATGATAAAAATCCTATAACTTGAGCGCTTTCGAAAGATGGACCTTTCTTCTTCAGGGGCAAATTGGGAATGTTTGCCCCTGAAGAAGAAAGATCGACCTTTAGAAAGCGCTCGGGTTATAGAGTTTTTATCATTTTGTAATGATAGAATTAAGAAACAAAGAAATAAAAGGTAAATTCAGAGAAAAGACTAAGGGATCTTTACTTCACAATCAACATTCTAAACAAATATTATGTGAAATCAATACACTTACATAGTTATTTTGGTACCAAAATATCCTATCTTTTCCTACTTGAGAATGATACATCGTGACTGACAAGCTCATTAAAAGACAAAGTCACCCTAAAATAATAGGGAACTACTCTGGGGAGGTATTATTAAGGAGCCGGTTTGAAGCAGTTAATAGTTTATTACAAATTGAATTTTGATAAGTTAATATTGAAGTTATGAAGAATGGGTTTGATAGTATATATATCACAACATTCCATTCTACCGTCTTTTGGTTGTCTCGAGTGTTTGTAAAATTATAAAGTTTATTTGCATATGATTTTCGTGATTATATATCACGACAGTAAGACAATAAAAACTAAAAACAGAGATAGCAATTCACGTTTTAATGCGATAAATAGAAAACAAACATAATGCAATCTTTCACACAAGGTAAAAATATTTCAGGCTTAATAAATACCACTTAAAATGAAAGAAAACAAAAATTTACAATACAAATATTGTACAAAATTAATCAAATTAACAGAGGAGTTAAAAAACAAAAAATGAATCAGTGTACCTCAGATCAAAGTTATAAAAGTAGCACAGACTGGAATTAACGCAAATACATTACTTAGCAAGTTACAAATATTATAACCCCAAGTCAAACACAGTTAAGCAATCTAAACACAGACAAAATGATATGTTGATATATATGATACAAATAAATAAATCTTATACAAAAATGTGTAGAACTCATTGAACAGCGAATTAACTAAAACTGACCTTAAGCAAAAAAATGATATTAAACTGATGTAAAATCTGAAGTCATAACAAACAGAAAATAATAATATACATACACGCAGATATATAATGCACGTGGATACTAACAACAACAAAAAAGAAAAAAGAGTGCAGGTAAACATATAATAATATACAGAATAAAAACTTAATGAGAGTTTTTCTGTTTTTTGTTGTTATTCACAAAGATACACGATAGGTTATCCGTGATATGCCTCCCGTAAGTATCGGAACCTAATTTCTAATGATATAGGCCCTTACCACTGACCCATCGGGGTCATCAGTGACAGAGTGAAAGCGAAGTATTAATATACGAAAGGAAACAATATACAGTATTTACATGGCAAAGTTGATATCTTATTTGATCTTGTTGTAGAAGACGAGACTTTTCAAAGTTGTGGATTTTTTCCTATTTTGGAGGACCTGGAGGCGAATGTCCCTTTTTCTCTGTAAATCAGCCTTGAACTTTACCAGTTCCCCCTAGGTGGCTCTAAACTTGACTGTATGCTGACTCTGGTATTCGCAATATTCTGGTGTCCATAGCAATAATTTTTTCACCCCCATAATCTGGGCTTTGGTCTCTCTTCCTGTTTGAGCCTGGCAATGCTATTTCTGCGGCTATTTCTTGTTGAGATTCATGTACCCTCGTAGCTACTTTAGTTGTTGGAAACTTTGCTGGTCAACAAATGGCTGAACTTTCATAGGGTTTAGGTACAGCATTGTCTGTGAAGAATTACCACTCTATTGGCTTTGGGTTCCAATTCATGGTTGGTATGATGAGCAACTGGACTTTCAGATACCATGGTCTCACCCAGTGTGGGATCACATGTTCATATAGTGCCATTGCTGCTCCAAGTGGCTATTAATCGGATACCCCATGATCTTCCTGGTCTTGGCTAATAGTTACACTGGGATAAGAGCTGGTGCTTTAGGCTGTTGCTGGTTCTGTTTAGCTTATGAAATATAGGCTTGAGTCAACGGAATGGGTTTGGTAATGAGGGTAAGAAATGAAGACTCCAGGCATTTCTCTGTCAGTTTGTAAGGCTCCAATCTAACAGGAATAGGATGGCTCCCGTGATTCCCAAGTTGTAGTTTGGATCATCTTATTGTGGTAAATGTTATGGTTCAAATCCTGTTTTATAATACCTATTGACCCGTTCACATCAGTGCTACAAATATTTCAAATTCCCTACAGGTGAGTTGCATCTAGCAGTCCTCTAACCTAAAATTACATGATAACGACACCAGCCTTTCCTCCTGACCAGTTTGAATCTTCACTCACCCTCTGCTTTGAAGCCTTAAAACTTTACCCGAACTTTCTAATGCAAGTCCTGACAAATTGTATAAGTCAGTACTGTAAATAGATAGAATAAGGACAGGTATGGTACTTTTGGCCACTGTCTCTCGTCCTGCCGAGTACATTGGAACATTTAAGACAGAAAACGAAAATATAGGTGATAGAATTGATGAAATTCCGTTGCCCCTCTTCATAACCCTGGCCAATAAAATCCATATACTGAACCAAAATAGAACATGTTTCAATTTCTTATATTTATTGTTTTTACTACGAAAAACAAAAACCTGTGCAGAAAATCACAGAAATGAAAAGCTTAAAAAAATAAGGGAAAATTAACCATATAATGAAATTTTTAAATAAGTTTAAATGTCCTCAAACACCAGCTTGAGAAAATCACCGTGTAACAAAGCAACACTACATAACTCACTTGCATATACGCACATAAAAACATTTATAACATCTCTTGCCACTGAATGCTACTATCAGAAACACATACAAGAAACAAAGCTATTTTTATTTACTCTTGATACTATTCTGATATGCTGAGAAGATATTTCTGGACCAGCTATTAGTTTGCTGTATTTGTACAATAATGTTTCACCTTTGGGCTATGAGGGCAAGAGTCATGACTTTTTTCAACTATGGTGTCTCACAGTGGCACAGCGGTATGTCTGCGGACATACAACGCTATAAACCGGTTTTCGATACCCGTGGTGGGCAGAGCACAGATAGCCCATTGTGTAGCTT